GAATGTGCTCCCACTGTCGAATACCGTCCTACCACCTTAAATATGAAATTGCAGCAATATTAATATCTTGTATTAAAATTTGCTGCACTGTCATTCTTTACATTCACAAGATGGCGCTCCAACAGGTGGCGCGCACCCTAGGGAGGACCGGTTTGGCCAAGCTGCTGGAGAAGGTCCCCCGTCCCGCCGGCATTGTGCTCCTTGATTCTGCTCCTCACCTTGGAACAGCATCAAACGGCGGCCAATTGGAAGCCAGCAATGCTGAGGCGTCCTTTTCTGGCGAGCCTGCATTGCGGCCAGCAAATGCTAGCGGTTTCTCCGCATTCTCGGTAACGGTCTCTGCACAGCTCCGCACTTTTGCGTCGGCTGCGGTTGAGGAGGTGAGCGCGGCGGACGATAAGGGATCTGGTGAAAATAGAGGCGAGGCACCCCAAGAACCTGATGTGGGAGTCGCAGACATGGGTGCTTCACCACCCAGCGACAATTCTGTGGAGGGCAAATCGGAGCCAGCAAAGACCGGCAGCAGAGCAACCAAACGGCGCAAGGCGCGCAGGATAGCGAGACGAGCGAAGCAGGCGGAGATCGAGGGGGGAAAACCGCCAAACTCTCCTGATGGACGGCCAAATTGGGGCAGGGATAGTGCGGACAACAAGTACAGCATGCGCGAAAAGAAGCGAACCGTGGGGCCCGCGAAAGACGCCCTTTTGCAGCTGATCAGACAAGCGGCGCCTGATGCGGACCTGGACGAGTTGCTCGCGGACGGGAAAGCGGGCAAGAACGAAATCGACGGGAAGGTCGTCCAGCTGGCGTTGTACGGTCTGGCCAACGAGGGCGACACGATTGGGTCCGGGCTCCCCCATCTCGACGAAGAAAACGAGGATGATCGGGAAAGCAGTTCGAACAAATTGGGTCGCTCGCTGAACCTGCTTGACTGGTGGCAACGGAAGGACGCGGACAACGAGGAGCAGGAATGCGGCCCGAACGATGCGCTCCGCGCGCTGAATCTGTTTGAGTGGTGGCAGAAAAAGAATGCCGGCGCGCCGCAGGTGTGGCTGCTGAACCCGCTGCTCAAGGCGCTGGCGCGGGGGGAGCACGACACGCAGATCCAAGCGCTCTGGGAGACATACAAAGCGAGCGCGAAGTACGACGACCGGCTGATTGCGGACTTCCTGCAGGCGTTTTACAACCGGGGGAGGTTCGAGGAAGTGCTCGCGACGCACAAGGAAGTGGTGGACAATAAGTGGACCGCGGTGCACAAGGCGAACGACTTTGCGCTGCTCGCGCTGCTCGGCCAGGGCGCGCCGGCGGACGAGGCGTGGCAGTTCTACAAGCAGTTTGTGGAGAAGTCGGGGCAGGGGCTGCACAATCAGAGGTGCTTGGTCGCCTTGCTCGAGAGTGGGGTCTCGGTGGAGCAGATCCGCTCGCTCGAGTACAAGGAACCGGACCGTGTGGCGCACCGGCTGATCCAGGCGCTGTGCAAGATGGGACGGCGGGACGAGGCGGGACTGATCGTGAAGGAGCTGGTGGAAAGGGAACAGCCGGAGATGCCGCTCACACCGCTCGTCTCGATCCTATCGACCATGGTCGCGACCGGCTTCAAGGTCAGAATGGATCCAATACCTAGTATTGCAAGCTTCCTTGTAGGTTTCAGGTGTGGAGCCCTTGTTTTTAAGCATAGGGTGATCCTGAGTCTGAAGTGGATGACAGATTCTCCCAGCATAAGGCACCGAATTCCAAAAAGACTCGATCAATGTTGTAGCATCGCCAATATGAGTCGACGTTCCAATGTCGCAATCCCAAATTGATTTCCATGAACCTTGCCCTTGACTTTTCAATTGGTGGACCCTAAGAGTTTAGGCCACTGCTGAGCCTGAAGTTGAGGACAGACTCTCCCAACCTCCAAGCTTCAAGGTTCAAAATTTTATTCAATGCTCCTTGTTGCGATGTTTGTCCAACTTTTTGATGACTTGTCTGACTCTCACCTCCTTGTCTGCTTGCTTGAGTTCTAACATTTTGGCGCCAACTCTGGAGCCTTCACATCCGATTTGGACGCTTGTTCACCTCTTCAGCGCATGAAGAGGCCCAGAACCTGCAGCACCGAAACCGGCTCGCGCCCTCACATTGTTCACAAATAACCACTGACGTTCTTTGGACGCTGGTCCTTCGGTTTCGCACGCTTCGTGACGCTAGTGACGCACTTCGGACGCTTCTGAATTCTCCTCTTGTGCAGAATGAGGCTCAGAAGCTGGTGGACCTGCCCCACAACTAGAATGTTCTCCCCCTTGCGATGAAGGGTCTATTATGAGGTCAAGAGGGGGTCAAGGGTTTCTCGTTTTCGAAGCAGGGGATCTGCGGGGTTTAGAAGGGGTTAAGTCGCTCAAGTTTCGATCTCGGTCAATCCGGTAAGGGTTCCGACCGATAGGATCACGAATAAATTTGCCTTACCGTTTTTGGAACATGTCATGTCAATGAGGGAGGCAAAAAGGATCGTTTCTCCGCGACCGGGTGCTCGCCTTCTTTGGAACCGGTTCCTTCCTTTTTGGACTCTTCACGACGCGTTTTGGACGCTCATCCCCTCTCCCGTGCAGGAAGAGGCCCGGACCTGCGCCAACAAAGTTTCGGCCGCGCTCACTTTCGCACTCATCTATGACGTGATAACTTGCGTTTCGGATGCTTCGTGATGCTTACCGGACGCTTTCTCCCCTTGTTCTGTTCAGGAAGAGGCGCAGAAGCTGGTGGACCTGCGGGCCCAGAAAAGCGGTTTGCAACTTGACCACGCGCTCGGGTACGTGATCCGGAACCGCAAGAACGCGTGGTCGGGCGTCTCGGCGTACCGCGCGCTGATGGAGCTGGAGGGGCCACACCGGAAGAGCCTCCCGGTGCAGGCGGCGATGATCGCGCACGTCTACTTCCCGCTCCGGAAGATGGACGCCATGCTTCGGGTGAGCTTTCCTTTTTTTGTTCTTCTTTTTTTGTCTTGATTCTTTTAAGAAGTTGCTTGTTTTTCAGAGTTCTGAAGTTCCTGATTTTGGAAAGGCAGGATTTCAGGGTGGTCGAGGGTTTTGCTTCGGGGTTGCGGCCTTCTTGAGCTGAGCTCGAGGATTGGTGCTGCCTGTATCCCGCTCAAAAGAGGGAGGTCATGGGTCCAGTTCGGATTTGGGTTTGAATTTCCGAGTATGAGGATCGAGTTTACGGAGTTGTGGTTCCAGAATTTCAAGCTAGAGGCTTCCGTTCCTTGTTGAAGAGCGCGGCATTTGCGTATATCTAGCTCCCGCTAAGGGGATGGAAATCACGCTTCAGGTGGGCGCTGTGGAAAGGGTTTCAAGGGCAGGTCTGACCCTCATTTGCTACTCTCTTCCTGAGGGTAAGCTAACCCACCTTCTTAGTTAACCCGGTCTTCCGTAACCCGCAGGCGTACAAGCTCGGAAAGACTTTCGAAGGCCGGTTTCATGCCGCTGTCGTTGGGAAGGTGATATACGCACTGGCCTTGGAGAATCGGGCGGCAGAGGCGGAAACCATTCTCGCGGAGTTTTATGAGTCGAAGGAGGACGCGCCGATGCACGAGACGCTCGGGATGCTCCCGGAGAGCATGTACCACAGGTGCGGCTTTTCCCTCGCCTCTAGTTCTAAAGGGCATCAGCTTTCGAAGCGCACTGCTGGCAATCGTTTTCGAGGGTCTTATTAAGTTTTCTGTAAATTGGTGGAACACTTTGCATCAGCCCTCCAGTATAGCCTAATTTGGAACAGAAATTTCATATCTCAATGCTTGTTGTGAACTGCTGACCTGGTCTATCACAAAACTCGTTCTAAATGATTGAACACGCAGAGAACAGATTGGAATTGAGTTCATTTACCCCAAGATCGTTTCTACGCTTTTACACCCAGCAGGCGGGCCTCGGGTCTCTAAATCCGTTGTGGACCCAACGCCTGACAGTGCCGTACCCCAAAATTTACCTGCGCGCACAGCAGCCAGACAAATTCCTGATCCGGGGGATGCTTGTGCAAAAAGAACCACGCGGAGGGTTTGGCGGACAAGCTTTGGTTGCTTGACTCGAATCATAATCCGACGCCTCACGTTTCCTCCGTCCCTTTTCCAGGCTGTTTGAATGTACTTGCGTGCAGAGCAGCCAGACAAGGCCGTGGATCTGATGAGGAGTAATGAGACATAGTTGTTTTTTTCCCGAGAAGCTCTGTTTCCCTAAACCCCGACCCTAACCTGACGTCTGTCGTTCCATCCGTCCGTTTTCCAGGCTGCCCGAAAAGTACCTGCGAGCAGAGCAGCCAGACAGAGTCGCCGATCTAACTCGGGGGAAACTCAGGAGCACAATCACGACATGACGGGTTTTGTTGAAAAGCTTTGGTTTTCTTAACCCGGACCTTCATCTGACGCCTGACGTCGCCTCCTCCGTTTCCAGGCTGTTCGAGATGTACCTGCGAGCGGAGCAGCCAGATAAGGCCGTGAATGTGGTTCGCGGCATGGTCGAGCACAAATATTACGTGAAGACTTCTGTGGACAAGCGTTGGATTTCTAAACCCGAATTCTAACCCAGCGCCTGACGTTCGTTTTCTCTGTTTCCAGGCTGTTCGAAATGTACCTGCGAGCAGAGCAGCCAGACAAGGCCGTGAATGTGGTTCGCGGCATGGTCGAGCACAAATACTACGTGAAGGAGGCTTCACTTAACAATTGGGCCGAGCGCTTACGCAATGCGGGGTTCGCCACGCAAGCCGAACAGGTCGAGATTGCGGGGGAGGACATGAAGGCGTACCGGCCAAAGTTTGAGCGTCCAGGGGAGCGGTATAAGGGGCGGACGTACTTGCACAAGTCGAAGAACGGAAAGGTGACAGGGGGGAAGGATGAGCGGGGCACGGAGGGGGGGGAGAAGGAGTCGAGCGCCGAAGGGGGGGAGAAAGAGGTGAGCGCCGAAGGGGGGGAGAAGGATCAGGGCACCGAAGGGGAGGGAAAGTTGCAATCAATTGGGGTCCAGTAGATATGGATGATTGGGGAGCGAGAAGAAGAGTGCGGTGAAACCAGGGTCGTGTCGATTGGGAGAAACCTGCATCTGGAACGCGCACAGGGCGCCTGATATGCTTGGAGATCGTGATAGACAGAGATGGGTTCCAGTTTGAGTCGGGGAGCAAGAACGGTTTTGGTGGACAAATTGGACATGCGCTAAAAGGTATGCCAAAGAAGCAAAACGATATCGGGCTAAAAGATGAATATTGACTGTCGACCGTGAGCTGCCAACCCGTTCGCTGATGTGCAGCAGTACAGCTAGTCACTTACTCATTGAGCCACTAGTCACAGGCATGTGCATATTGGTTTGTAGAATTCTTACAGTGAGACGGCATGCGCGGGCTGTAATCAGGCTTGCAGCACATTGCGGACAGATTGTGAAGGCCGTGCCCGCGCATTGACTCCCGGAACTGCATGGAATCTGATATTGAGCTTGAGCACGTGCGGCCCCGCAACATACTGGAGCCCGGCCGTTGACAGCCGCTGAGCATGGCATGTGTCGCAAAGTGAGATTGCTCCAGCTATGCGTTTGAATCGATACCGGAGAGCATCCGTTCACAAGTGAAGCAACTGGTGGGTCACGTGCTGCGCCGCGACTTGGATCGACAGTCACATTTGGCGCTCAGTGTGCATATGTAAGAACTGTATCCGATCTGATCTCATGCTGATGCATGGTTAAACATGGAGCCACTGAAATCTCCTCCGAGGATGATTGCAGATGTATTTCGGCGTACGAATATTAGCTAGTATATTGTGGGGACCTCGTTTATAATTTGGAGAAGTTCTAGACACCGTCTGGCATCATTCTAATGGCACATGTAATATGATCTATAAGTTGGCATAAGCACTCTATATTGGCACATGTGTAGCGCAGTCGTTGGAAGCGCCTGTACGCATCAGTGTCGGACTACTATCATAGTATCACCATCCTGCCCCTCCAGGATCGCAATGACTCTGGCAATGTACATATGATGCAGTCAATCATCTGCAAACGCGCGCCGAAACCTGGAACACGTAAATGCATGCAAGTCAGCCGGGCCGCCTCTGAGGCGGCCGCACTTGCCACAGTACAGCCCTACGTATAATGAAAAGAACAAAGCCTGCTGAGCCTGCTGACCGTCAGACAAAAGACAACTTCCAACTTCAAACCCGCAGCATCAGAGTCTCTTGAGTCGCAATCATTTGGTCCTACCAACAGAAACTTGTAAGGTCGAGCTACAAAGCAGCAGGCAGCAGTCACAAGTCACATTGAAAGATGCATGTTCGCTAGCCTTGGCGCGCATGCCTGATCATTTCAATCTGACACCTTCGAGCCATAATGTCATGACTCGCACCTAGTGCCCCCCACTCGCTAGCAGCGAGACAAAGTCACTCAATTTGAGTCAACGCAAAGCTTCCAAACGTTATGCAGAACCATCGCTGTCGGAACCATCGCTGTCGGACCTGTCATTTGGATCTTGACAGAAACTTCATTATGTACATAGCTTTTGACTCAAGCTACAGTAGGGCTCGAAATGTCGTTAGTAGGACCAGAGGTTTAAGAACCCTGTCCCGCCGCCGCTCCCCTTGGCACCCCCCTTGAGCCCCCCCTTCTCCTTTGCCACTTCCTGCGCGCACCCGTGCGCCGGGCGCGCCGCCAGCTTCTCCAGCAACTTGAGTCCCGCGCCCTTATTCACACCCCCGATCGGCACCCGTTCACACTTGTGCTCGGCCGCATACCTATGTCTCAAACAGACGTCGACATGGCAGTCTTTGCACCGCACCTTGTTCGAAAAGGTGAGCACTTCTCTGCAGCCCTTAACGGGGCACCGCGGTTTCTTGTGGACTTTTTCATAGTGGGAGGGGTCGCAGGCGGTTGATGAAAGGTGGGTTTCCAGAACCTGGTCGGAGGTTTGGTTAGCGACAAGCTTAACCGACTTGGCGCATAGGGGGCAGAGAAGGACGAAGTTGGTGTCGGATTTGTTGGCAGCTTTTGGACAGTCGTGCGCTGCGTACTTGCGGTGCTCGAGGCAGAAGACCTGCACACAAAAGAATGGGTTAAGCATGACAACCAACAATTACCAGCACTGATCAAGTCTTTTCTGAACCCAAACCCAAGTCAGTTCCTCCGGACGACAATTTTCAAGGGTAAATCGCAGTGATTCAACAATGAATGACAGAACCAACAACCTCTGAGGCTCTGCTTGAAACATGATGGACGTGAAATTGCTCCAAGAGATTGTTGAGAATTGAGCTTGAGTTCAAGTGAGCCGCAGACGCGCTGAGGCTATGTACCCAGAAAGAGAAAGGACCTGATGACTGGCAGGTACTCTACTCTAGTTGGATCAATCTACAGTTGAGAGTGTAAACCCCAGTGATATACATCATAATCCCCGAGAACATCTTGCGCCTTCCTACACATCTAGCGCTGGTTTCTAGCGCTGGTAAACCAGCCTACTTTTCCCCTTGAACTTTCACACTATCGGACGGTCAAGAAACAAGAGCTTAACGCTGGTGCGAAAGCACTTATCAAAACTTCTAAAAGCTTGCAGTGGTCACTTGACAAGACCTTTACTGCGCACCCTACGAGCCTGAAGAGCACAACAGACCAACAGCTTAACAGCAGCAAAGTTTATGCTTGGAGAAGGACGGGTGCAGAGAATGACGACAGCAGTGACAACTGATAGAGAGACACTGAAGACAAGAAGAGGAGGTGAACTGACAACTTCAAAGCAACGGGCTGGCAAACATGGAAAGAAGGCCCACACAAGAATCTATGCTAGGATGAACAGGCTCAAATATTACGAGCTGTAGAGGAACGAGACCAGTTGAGAATCTAACAACGCCTCCTGGATGACAGATTGTCAGGAACTTACCTCTTGGCAGGCATCGCACTTGAAAGGCAGGAAATCCAACTGCGCGCAATCGCTCTTAGCGCAGTGCTCCCCAAGCTCCGTAAAAAGAAGCGTCCCCATGATCAACAATCCAAAGAAAGCTGCCGGCGACCCCTACTCAGCTTGCTCAAAGAACAAGGCCACACTCCTTCTTACAAGACTCTCAGGCGAGGGCTCTCAGCACAACTTTGCTATGGCTGCTTGCTGGCAGATCGCTACTTTTGTTGGTGGTGGATGAGACGACCTCTGAAGTCTTTTGAAGTTTGAGCGGCGCCTGGAGCATCCCCACTGCTGAGGGAAACGTGCTTCTAGAACCCCCCTGAAGAACCAAACCCTAATCCAGAAAGGTCGCGAACCCTCCGGTCCCGCCTAACCGCAGTCGTTAACCGCCTTGGTTGGGGCGGTTGCGTACCCTTTTGGGGTTTGAAAACTAGGTTAACTTCTGGTTCGTCGTGGCGCTCCTTAGAGCGACCCTGGGCAAACCCCCATGGAATCGTTAACCCGATCAATTCCGCCCAGCTGCACTTCCGACGGACTGTTCCGCTCACCTGGATGACCAAGCTAGCGCGGAACAAGGCGTTTTCCATGGCCTCCTAAGTTCCTTTCCTCCCTTGCTGCTTCAGACTCAGTGCTTGCAAAACAGCTGATCTGGAGGTGAAAGGAGGCGGTCCCTAGTGCAATTGACGAGCAGCACCAAGCTTGAACCAGTGTGATGTGCGTTCTCGGGCCTCGCAAGGCTGAACAGGAGCGATTCTGCTAGGTAGTGGAGAATTTCAAGCATTGGCAGAAGGAAGAAAAGCTCAAAGGCTGCTACTATGGCAACCCAAGCAGATGATGGGATGACTTCCAGAGCTGAAGCAGCAGCTGAAGGAACCGAGTGTGGGAATGCTGGTAGCGAGGCGGGGCCTTCTGGGAGGAGCACGCTGCTGGTTGACAAGCACAAATCGTACATCAAAAGCTTGGACAATGTGAGGCAAAGTTGCTCCTTGGTGGAATGACTAGCAGCCATTGGTGTCAGATTCTAAACGGGTCTTTTTCTAAACGAAAGCAGAGTGTCGGACGATTCTTGTCTTCTGCAATATCCCCACAAACAATTGAATTAGACCATCCCCATGTGGTATGTCTCTCTGCTAGCAGAACTTATCATCAGCCTTGAATGAGGACAGGCTTAATAGGGATGCAAGAGTTGTATAAGTTATGGCCAACATGAAGCTTTGGTGATGAAGGTGACTAACAGTTTCCAACTTGCCAGGTTGTCGAGAGCTTGTGAGTGGTGTGTGATGTATTTCAATTATAACACTTGGATACCATTCAACAATTCAAAAGAAGCCCCGGCCTGACCTGCTCTCAAACTTCGTGACTAAAGTACCGTGCGATGTTAGTAGATTCTATGCTCGCTTCTCTAGTGGTATACAGCAATCACCTGATGGAAAAAGGATTCTTCTATAGTGCGCTAACTGACGATTCGAATCTTATCCTCGGAGCAGTGACTCGACTGTGCCATCGAAGAGTGGAATTTTCTTCTATCTGCACCAGTCACAATTTTCAGCGCCAGTTGCTGGGATTTGACGTATGTAAACTTCAACCGCTGAAAGGTCACTTCTCTAGTCTTCTACTTGGGTGGTTCAGGGCTAACAGCTGCTCAAGCGCCTGCAACCAGTACAATTCTCCTCTTCCCACAAGCCCCAAACTTCAGCAGCAGATTCATGAGTTTGAAGAATTTCAAACATTCTCAACGGCAATCTTGACCAATTTCCTTTCTCCCTTCTCTCCCAGGACACTGCGACCCTTGACTACCAGCTGACTGAGCATCTGCGTATGAGCGGCGTCTACTGGGGCCTGACCGCGATGGATTTGATGCACTGCTTACACGAGATGGACTCAGAACGGGTGGTCAAATGGGTGATGAGCTGTCAGCACAAGAACGGGGCGTTTGGGGGCAATCGAGATCATGATGCGCACCTGTTGTATACGCTCAGTGCGGTGCAAATCCTGGCGCTGTATGATAAGTTGGACCTGCTTGATGGGAAGAAGATCGCAGCATATGTGGTCAGCTTGCAGCAAGAAGATGGGTCGTTCGCAGGTGAGGTCTTGTTTGGACCACTCTCTTGTTCGATGGTTCACGACTCTTAAAGAAGTTCAACCTTGCTGGTGCTCGTGTCTACCTTCCGGCGGTACGCGAGCCAAATCGATCATACGGGGCATACCTTACCTCCCAAAGTGTCCGCCACAAGATTTTGCCACTTGCTCTATCTTTATTGCAGCAACTAACTGGCAAAAAGCCAGTACCAAGCTGGAAGGGTGTTGGTTCGGATCAGAAGGCTTGGAGAGACAGCAAATTTGAATCACATTTACTACTTGTAAGCGCATCAGGTCTGAGCAGATACGAGGACGAGTTGCTGTCTTTCTCACTTTCAAATATGCGGTTTATGATGTCAAAGAGGAGCGGGTTCACGCGTTTGTGTCAGAAGAGTTGTTTTTCATTGCTGAAGGTGACAGAAAGTTCTCTAGCCTGCACCGAGTGGTTCACAGAGAGCAAGGCATCGTTCACCCCTCAAGCTGTTTCGATTCATATTCTACTGTGATATCTTTCTTGGACCAGTCTAGAGTCGGCCCCCTCATGCTTTAAAATGTGACAACATCCAATACGAGGGTATACGTGTGATTTGGTCCTCAAACGTGCATTTGGTCTCCCCCTCTCCAGGCGACGAGTTTGGCGAGATTGACACCAGATTTTCGTACGCGGCCATCCTGTGCCTCTCCCTTCTCAACAAGCTACACTCCATCAATGTGCCCCGGGCGGTCGACTACATTATGCAGTGTCAAAACTTTGACGGCGGCTTCGGTGTGGCTCCGGGGCTGGAGTCGCACGCGGGCCAGATCTTCTGCTGCGTAGCCTCGCTTGCATTAACAGGTGAGGAGGTGCCAGATCAACTGCTCAAATGTGTTCTGTTAGCATCAGCGAGCTGTGGGTGTGGAAAGGAAGCGAGCTCTTCTGTTCACGCATTGTGCATACCAGTAAGTCCGAGACGAGTGCACCGTCTGCATCTGAGGCGCTTCGTTCGGTACAGCTTAACCTGCAAAATGCTGACGTCATTCTACCGTCAGGGTCGCTGCACCGGCTGGACCGGGACCTGCTCGGGTGGTGGCTCGCGGAGCGGCAGGTGAAGGAGGGCGGCCTCAACGGACGCCCGGAGAAGCTGCCGGACGTGTGCTACTCGTGGTGAGCTTGCGAATATTATTGTCAACTTTTGTGTGATCTCACGGGCGTTCGACCTAAAACCCGGGGTTTAGGCCGCCCTCAAAAGCTGTCGGACGTGTGCTAGTCGTGGTGAGCCTGCAGAACATACTAGTTCTTTTCAACGTGACGTTACGGGCGTTCGGCCTGAGTTTCGGGTTACCCAGGTATTGTCACGGAGGTTCCTATTTCAAGGTGTGACGGGCTCCGCACCTCAAACCGCGCTAGTTCTCAAACTTAACCTACTTTGAGCTGTATGCATGTGTGGTCTTGTACGTTACTAGACATTTCACGGCGTAAGTCGCGAAGGAAACTTTACGGCGTTTTGCGAGCCTTGTCAGAGACTCAGCGACCTTTCGTGAACCTCTCTGAAGATCTAGGAACACACGAAGTCATTGGCGACCAAAACGGTGTGCACGATCGTTGCGCTGCCTTGCTTTGCCCGATCAGTGACGTCCCGAGGCGCAAATCAGAATCCTGAACTTCGATCCGATCGGAATTGACGCCTTAGGTCTCCAGCTTTTGTTGGTGACGTCGTTAATCGTGTCGCACCGAGTCAAAAGTGCACACGAGTGTTCTGCTCGCTGAATCCGTGACAGGTTTCACGCCAAGCCCTGTAGTTCGCAAGTTCAACAACAGCCACCTTGTATGAAATGATGGTGATCGTTTCTTTTGTCTGCAGGTGGGTTTTGTCGAGCCTGGTCATCATGGATCGCGTACACTGGATCGACCAAAAGGCGCTGCAGCGGTTTATCTTAGACTGCCAGGTACGTGTCCGTCTCTACTTAAGACGGAATCCGTTCCGGTCTTTGCAAACGCGTTCGATTGAAAGGAAGAGTCTTGCAGTCGCATCCTCATCGTTGATTGGGGACGTGTATGCTGCGTGCTTCATCTCTGGGTTGAAGCGGAAGGAGTGCAACTTGCAGTGTTCACCCTTCTCCATTGGAAGAGGTGTGACCAGTTGAAGCTAGATGAATTTGTCCCAGACTGTTTGGCTTTTCTTTTTTTGCGGAGTCATACCTGCCGATTTCAGATCACGGACTTCTGACACTGTGCCCCACAGCCGAGTCAAGAAAGACTCAATGTGCGGGCCACAAGTTCGTCCAAGTTTTGAGGGTCTTTCTCCTCAAACGTGGCCGCGACTTTGCAGTTGGCAAATGCTCAACGAGCCAGGAAGCATGAGAGGACGATAAACTGTTACATTAATTTCTCCCCGCCTCTTATCTGTCTGACCCTTACGCAGGACGAAGAGCGAGGGGGCATCTCCGACCGACCAGACGACATGGTCGACGTGTTCCACACGTATTTTGGCGTGGCGGGACTTTCGTTGCTTGGGTACCCGGGATTGAAAGCCATCGATCCCGCGTATGCGCTCCCCATAGATGTAGTTGAGAAGATTGTCCGTTCAAGAAGAACAGAAAGTTAGCACGCCCTTAGTACAGTTGCAAGTGTAGATAGTCGTTTATGCAATGTGTCATGCATGGCATCCGTGCAGCAAGTCGACTGCTCGGCTTTTTGAGAGTATTTGAGCTTATGAGCTGAGATTATGGTTGGTTCTTTCTCGAGTCCGACCATCTCCAATGACGGAGAATGTAAGGTCGTAGGTCGCTCTGCAATCGATGTTATTGTTAGGTCCATGCAACAGAAAAGTGCGTTCCTCCCCTCTCTTGATACTGTTCGTATATTGAGAAGATCTTTTCATTTTCGATATTTGCTGCCAGTAAAGGATTGTAGACAGGACCGGCCGGTATCAATCATTAGAGGTGACAAAGTTCTCAATCAACAGAGACGTACTCTCTTAATTGTACAACATAGAGCCGGAGGTAAGATTGATACAACCTGCTACACTAGACTGTCGGTCTGAAAGACCTCCACCATGGGCTTCTTGTCATCCTGCATGTACGTTGCTAGCTCATGCCCGGCCAGGCCGCAAATGATCGAATCGGATGAGTCCCTAGCTTATAATCTGACACACATGCGGTACAAAGCGTCTGCGAGGTTGCATGAACGTTCGGAGCATTACCAACTCGATTGTTTCTCAGGTGGCATCAACGTCACCTCTATCAGTATTATATGTTCCACGTACGTTGTACGTAGCAAACATGCATGTAAGCAGAGAATCGATGATTGCATGATTCAGCCGCGACACCGTGTATTACCGTCGGGTGACGCATGCATCAATCACAAGAATAGTGCGAAAAGCCATGGCACCGGTTCGGGCGACGACGTGCGCCTTGATTGGCCGGTCCGACAATCAAATGTGCTCCCCTTCCTTAGTATTATGGCTTTGAACGAACAATCTTGTAACTGAAATTTATTGCTTCCGTTCTTCACACGTACTTGCAAACGCTGTAGCTGGAAATCTAAGAAGGAGGACACTTTACTTCAGATTGGACCTTGGCAGGAGGCCTTTCAGCCAGTCTTTCAGTTCTGAATCCCAGGGTGCGACATTGAAAAGATCAGGGAGCCATTTTTTCGATTACATCCCTCTGCTGCTCCTGAGGAAGAGTGCCGAGCACTGCTCGGACGTCTGCCAGGATTCGCTGCTCTTGTTCGACATCCTCGCTTGTGCCCTGGTTTCCAGGTCTAGGTGGTATCCACAAGCGAAGGACACCGGCCCTATTCTCAAGCGTAAGGAGAGGTCTGCCCTTTCTAATGGTTGCGATGAGATCCTGATAGAAATGAAGGAGGTATGCACGTCTGACCAACTCGAATCTTTTCGCCTCTGGGGCAAAAAGCTTCCCTGATATGGTGTTCCTTGTGTCCTCAAAGGCCTTCATCAGTGACGACATGTCAGCACCGCTCACGATTGCCAAGTCTGTCAGCAGCCAGAGTCTTTTTAGGAGCATTTCGAGACGTTGATGACAGCTTGGTGAACGCTCATAGTAGTCAAACAGCTGCCTTTTCAAGCACTCAAAGTTGCCTTTCAAACTCTTCAGAAGGTTGCTGAAGCTGAAAGCACCCTCCTTGAATAGCGCTACAGCAGTTGGTCTCAGCAAGTCAATCTGGTCTCCCAACGTCTCAAGCATTGCATCCCAGATATTTTGTCTGAAGACATCAGTCGGCTTGGCTGGAGCTAGCCGTTCCTGTAACAGCTTTGCCCCAGCGCACATCTCTTGTTGGCTCAGACCTTGGACAAAACCCCGCTCCTCTGCGGTCCATGGCACAGCCAGGATATATTCAAGAGCATACTCTTGCAGGAGAACAATCTGCAAGTGGTTGGCAGCCTGAAAGACTTCTACTCATCTTGTACGGTGGCAAAAGGAGGCTCCCTCCAAACCTTGAAATCGCCACTCACTGACTCATACAGAAGCTCAAAGGCTCGTGCGTATGCCTTGACGTTGCTGCAGTCTTTCAGCGTTACCCCCCTCTTTAGTCCCCTGTGGTCTGCAAGTCCTCTTTTGCAGACCATCTATCTGAGAGGAGCGTTTCAAAGAACGCGCTGTGCTTCTTCAACAGCTTGCTGTGCAGAAAGAGAGTCACCGCTTCCGGCGTGCCAGGGGTGCTTGTTGCTCCTGCCTTGGCTGACTTCGGCTCACGTTCCTCTGATTGGAGCGTGAGTAAGAGGTCTGAGCTGAGCGGATCGTTGAATGCGAAGCCCTCCATGCTCGGAGAATCGGACGACGCTTCCGCCATCTGTCCTGGCTCTAAAACTCTTGCTAAAGACCTTACTAAGTTTATTGATTCAGATTCTTACAAGTGATCAAGTGAGACCTTCCCCCAGCATTTTCACGAAGTTCTGCTAACGCCGCGGCCACGCGCGCCCGCCTGAGTCCATCCCTTGAACCCAAACCCTGTCGCTCGCGTCTCGCGCGCGCGCTGCGCAACCGTCACCTCGGCCGGCCGGCCGCGCGGCCGCAAGGGCGGCGGCGCCCCCCGCCTGAAAGGTCACTGAAACTTCCGCTTATTCTCATCCGTCTCTCGACCACTGAGCGGGGAAGAACGGGGCAGTCTAACCAGTCCTATACGGTGCTAAGCAAGTTGCCGGCGTTTGCTCGAGCAATGCTCCCGATAGAGTCACACGAATGAGCAGGAGCTAGCATAAGGTTTTTCCTCAACGAATTTGTACACTACAATTGCGTTGACATGATATTGAACGCTACGTAGCTTGGTCGCACGTCTGGCAAGGAGGCACTGCGAGCTTTGATCTGGGGCATTGCCAATCTGCCTCTGTTACTTACTGTCGTGGGTTTTAGCAAAGAGTTGATCACTGCTGTGGCGAACGCGTACGCCATGTCGATCATCATCATGTGTAAAACCCGTTTGCGAGCCGTGAGGCCAGTAACCAGACGGGTTTGGAACATAGTGCTTTCATCGCCCTTAAATGTGGAGTACTGATCGAAGCTAGTTAGTTCTCGAACCACGATGCTCTGCCAAGAGAGGATTCGGCTGAGTGACGACCTGTCCCTGAGAATCATATCAGCTTCCGCCAAAGGTGGTTCGTTTCCCAATAATTCGTTTATTTCTCTTTCAGAATCCGAATGTCTTCTGCAAGGCGCATGGTTCTGCTGTTTGACGCATATAAATCTTTTGACGTCTGTGTCATCTCCTAGGGTCTGCTAATCATGTGGGCCGATTTCGTCTTAATATTTCGTTCTGTACACTCGGCACAAATCTGCACGTAACGCACAGCTTTCTAGTACCCTGGTTGGTACCGCAATAAAATCTGTCAATCACTCTCTGCACTGCGTTCGTTTCAGCAACGTTCGTTTCAGCAAGGTCTATCCATTAGCTCCTATATTTTGTATTCGGTAACTTTATGCACAATGGTCACTAATTCTTTGTCCTCTCAAGCCGCAGCTTGAGTGCGCGCGCAACTTTTCTCTATCTACAAAAGCGCACTGAGGAACACGGCCATGATGGTCGCTACTGTACATAGCGCGCTCGCGGCCGCGCGCGCGCGCGCGCCGCCCGTCACGAAAGCCTTCAGACCAATCGCCTGCGTGATGTTCGTACCGATCCGGAACTGGCAGTACTCGTGAGAGGGATCGACGGTTGTCAGCTGTGCTGCGCCGTTGAAGACGCACGCAGCAGGGTCCTGGCAAAGCGGAAAGAGAGCGGCTCTTTTTGCAAAAATAGTTCTCAAGGCGATGCTGACTTAACAAAACCGCATCGAAACAATCAAAGTTTGAAGATGCTGGACCAAGGAAACGTCCGAGAGCCTTCGGAGTGTCCGCAATGTGTCCCTTAGACTGTCTTGTGATTTCGAGAACGAAACTTCAGAAAGGCTCCCTTTCCGCAGTCAACTTCAGGAATATGAGGCTCCGCATCTTGTTCTTCGCACATCGCAGAAGTCAAAAAATGAGTTCAATGAATCCAGTCCGTTCCGCCCCATACCTGCTTGTTCCGCTGGTAATAGTCGTTGAATGCATACGAGGCGTGGGCGGAAACCGTGTTCGGGTAAGAGCACGATCCACCGTCATTGATGTCAGCGCACTTGGCGCCCCCCGCGCCACAAGCCCATTCGATGGCGCTTCTGCATAGACGGACACATCAAGTCTGGCCACTTGGACGGAAGGGACGCATGCTGCCAACCCTTGGACAAGATTTGAAAGAAGCGGTTTCCGAAAGGTTCTAACGCGAACGATCCGGCCTTGGTCAGTGGAACAAGTGCAATCTCCTCAATGGTTCCTTGCAGAGAGGAACACGCACAGAAATACAGCGCTTCTCGAATATTTGAGATCCATCTGGCAAAGCAACCCTGCCGAATATCGGCATCGCGATCCATGCGAGGTGCGATTGCAGCCGGGAACTGGAGAAACGAAAACCTGGCCAAACGTCGAGAAGCGAGGCTCTGCCTCGCGCCGAACTGAGTCGCTGCTTCGCCTCGTCGATCTGCTTTCTAAGAGAGAGGTGGCAAGCCCCTTTCGTTCGCCGTCTGTTCACACCGTTTACAAGGATAACATATGCACCCCTTGCACAGCCTGTAAAAATTGCAGCGGGAACTCACTGCAGTTGCGCACTGGTCGCGTTGTCCCGCGCGACGCACCACTGCTTCGCGAGGCCGAGCGCCTGCACGCCGCCCGTGCCCGCGAAGTCTAGCGCGTACTTCGGGCTCCCCTGAAACGGTGAGGAAAAGAGGACTCGTTAGGCTAGCCCGATAGAAGGGACGAAAGTAGCGAGGAGAGTAATCTGAGCGACGTCTGATGCGTACTTGGGGCTCCAATGAAACAGCGAGCAAGAGGGAAATCTTTAGGTTAGCCCAACAGGATCAGCGAGAAAGGCGAAGAGAGCATGCCAAGCGAAGTCTAGCGCGTACTTCGGGCTCCACTGGAACGGTGAGCAAAAGGGGAATCTTTAGGCTAGGCCGACAGAAAGAGTGAAACTAGCAAGGAGACTAATCTGAGCGACGTCTAGCGCTTGCTTTGGGCACCCCTGAAACAGCGAGCAAAAGGGGAATCTTTTGGCCAGGCCGACAGAAAGAGCGAAACTAGCGAGGAGACTAATCTGAGCGACATTCAACGCGTAAATTGGGCACCCCTGAAACAGCGAGCACACGGAGAGCCTTTAGGCGGTCCTGAAAGGAAGACTGACATGGGCGACGAAACCAACGTGTCCGTTAGAGGTGCCGGAATGTCCTGAAGTTTCAATTCAGGAGTAGAGTACTCCAAATGCATCGACCGCAGCCTTTCAGGAAAAACCACTGGCAGCAAGTTTAGTGTGCGACTTTGAATGGTTCGCGCAGCAGAAACTTCAAAAGCAACAAGATTCCCCGCGCAACCAAATCGCCCAACTCGACAAACAATGCTTTTGTCACCCATCCCAGTCAACCTTTGTTCCAGAAACAAGCATGAAAAGGTCTTGCTAAGCCGAGTGATCGCTGCACTCTGTCAATCACAGTCCAGAAAGATACTACGCAAGCGACTAATGCGCTCACCGTCGCGTCAAAGACGCCCCAGTGCGGCTCAAAGTCACCCGCGCTTGTGGACTTCTTATCCTCGTCCAGCAGCTCAAACACGTAACAGCCCAGGATCTGTCTTGGTTTCAGGGGGGTCCCCGTGCCGCTCAGACAGTGGCGAATGACCCCCCCGTTGAACTCCTGGGCGTTGGCCACGGTCGCGTACACGTGGCCGCTCGTCGGCCAGCCAACCTGACGTCGAAAGAGATGAGAGTTCAAGCGGGTGAGGTAGGAATCGACGACGGAAATGTGGAAGGTGAATTGAATTGCAACCTTGCCGTATGCTGACTTGGTGCTAAAGTCCGTCGTTCATTGGAAACGTCAGCCTTGGCCGAATGGATCCAACGCCCGACAATGAGACGTGGCTAGCCCCGTGGATAGCTTTTTGGCAGTGAAGGTGCAAGCCTCCGTCGTTGCCACGGTTGTTGAAAGAGGGCCACAGGCATCGGTCATGATGAATTTCCGTGTCTTGTCTCCACTTTGCGCAAGGAATGCTGCCTGTTCGGTTTTCGCCGGTTTGGAAGCTCAATCGGAACTTGTCAGGCGGCTTTCAAAGACTCGCGCGTTCCTTCAAAAACATGGGCGGAAGACTCGAGAATCCAAGCAAGAGTTTCAACGTCGTTTCTGCACGAGGCAAAACTAGAGCGGGGACTTGCCTCGCCAACCAAAAGCGGCATGTTGGGATAGCCGGTCCCGTTGAGCGCGTAGTAGACGGCATCTAGCATGGCGTCAAACATGTTGGTGTACAACAGCCCGGAGCCCCGGTCGAACCACCCGAGCTCCTCGCGGAACATAAGCTCTTCTACCGGCGGCGGATATTGCTGCAGATTCACGAAAAGAGTTGGTAAGAAACAGTACCCAGAAATTCTCCAGGTTTTATTCATTACTGAAATGTTGTTTTGGGAGACTATCCAGGGGATTGGTGTCAGGATTCTGAACCGGCCCATATACCCGGTCAGACCAACCGAGCTCCTTACGAAACATGAGCTCTTGGACCGGGGCCGAGTATTGCTGCAGTTTAGGAATTCGAGTGGTACAAAGCAACCTAATCTGCCACAGGCTCAAAGTCACTGAAAAAGCCTCCTCGGAAGTGATCTGGTCTACCGAGGGAGGGATCGAGACCGAGTTGAAGTGAACCAGATGCACTCAAGAGGCCTCGGAAGAACATCCCGAGCTCCTCAGAGACACAAACTCTTTCACCGAGATTGATCATCCGAAGCTCAACTATAACATTGCGATCGATGGAAATGCTCCCGTAAAAAAAAGGATTCTGCAATCTACAAAGTATGTCAAGGAGAAGCATCAAACGTTTCTGGTAGAATCACCGGACGTCCTTGCGAAACACGCGTCCTTCTATCTGGCCAGAACTCTGCTACGAGTTGAGAAACCGTCTGCAAAGCTTATCGTTTTCTGCCACTCAACGCGCACCCGCATCACTCAAGGAAGCCAAAATTGAGAAGCTTTTGGTAGAAAGCCTTATGCTGCCAACAAACGTTCTTCACCAGGTTCGCGGCAACTAGGAATGGGCAGAAGTTGGCCACGCTTACCTGTTTTGCCAAAACAATGCACCCTTCGACCAGGAAACCAAAGCAGGCAATTAAGTTATCATTCTTCTCTCCAGGTACGCGGCAACTAGGAAGGGGAAGATGTTCACCGCGCTTTACCTGGTTTGGCGTTGACCCGCACCCTTCAACCACGAAATCAAATCAGGCACGATATAAATTTTCTCACCAGGTACGCGGCAACTAGGAACGGGTAGACATTGACCGTGAACCGCGAGCCCGTGGATTGGATGAGCTGCAGGATTGGTCGGTACAGCTCCTTGAGGTCCGGCTTGAAGGCGCCCGCCGAGGGGGGGTACGACGCGGCCAGGTCGCCAGTGTTAACCTGGGGTGAACGGAAGCGGGTTAAGAAAGATGACAGTGACAAAGCGAGTTTCGGAGACGAGGCGTGAAGGCGTCTGTGAGGGGGGGATGCGACGCGGCCAGTTCGACAGCGTTAACCCCAGGGTTAGAGGAAACGGGTTAAATAAGGCCGCAATAACAAAACGAGTTTTGGGAGCTGAGGCGTCAAAGGCGCCCGCCGAGAGGGGATAAGACGCGGCCAGGTCGCCGGTATTAACCTGGGGTTAGCGGAAGCGGGTTACGGACTTTACAAAACTGGTTGAATAACGGCAGTCTCCAACAGGTGTCGGAGGGGAACGGTGCGGCCAGGTCACTGATGCTGACCCGAGGTTAAGGGAAACGGATTAAGAACTACCGCGGGTTTGAGAGATGGTGCCGGCGCTTAAACAGAGCGTTACTATTTTTTGATCACGTGACTATAATTCGCGGGGAATCTATCTTCGAAGTGCTACGACACCGATTTCGCTCCGCCGCCGCTCGACGCTCTGTCGAGGAGACGAGCCCTTCCTAAGAGTAGACAAAACCATCCGGACGCAAGGGGCTATTTCTCCGCTCTCGTTTGGTCGGCGAAGAACGAATTCTTTCTGGGTCTACCCTTCGACCCACCGACAAGTTGCGCCAGATGCTGTCATTCAGAAGTCATGCAAAAAGTCATTAAGAGCTGCTTAGAAGTGGCTTCCGTGTCCTTTGTGATAACTTGTTCTCAGCAGAATCTGGCGAAGCCGTCTAGAGGCTGCCCAGAAACGTTCCAGCTTTACCAACAGCCGTGCCTTAGGCGGTCCGGAGCTTTTCGAAAGCTGTGCCGAATCTGTGGGAGTTTTAAGAAGCTCTCCCTGCAGCTCGCCAGGGAGTATCAAACGCTGTCCGCAACATGTCCAGACACTAAATGGGCGCTTCTAAGAGCTTTTTGGACGCTGTCCAAAGTAAGAAGGCGAAATTTGTCCGAATCAGTCCTCACCGGAGTGGTCACCTTCACGGTGCCGTCCGAACGCCGTTTCTCACTTTGACCGTGTCGTCGGAAAGGCGCTGTGTGATTGTTGTAAATAGTGTCCGAAAGCGTCCAGGACTCTCACTGGGCCGTCCGAACGGCGCTATGTGAACGCGGTAAACAGTGTCCGAGAGCGTCCGGGATTCTCAACGGTGTGGCCACCATCAACGTGCCGTCCGAACGCCGCTTTGGGAACACTGTAAACGGTGTCCGAAGGCGTCCGGAAGTCTCACCGGGGTGGTAACTTTCACAGTACCGTCCGAACGGCGCTTTGTGAATGCTGTGAGCAGTGTCCGAAAGCGTCCGGAAGTCTCACCGGGGTGGTAACTTTCACAATACCGTCCAGGCCCAGCTCCCTGAGGCAGTCGGCGATGTTTTGCATCGCCGGGTACAGCGTGTTCAGATACGCGCCCTGCGCGCGCGTTGAGAGGATTGAGCGTCTTTTGAATAGGAAAGCCCTGTCAGCTTTTCTTGCTGCTTCTTCTCGCCGCGTGATAGCTTTGGGCGCTCGAGCTGTAGTCAAGAAAAGAGCTGCACTGCTTAAGGTGATGCTTTTCCATTGTGAGAAAGCTCCAGTGACGCTTTCGACTTGGATTGCTTCGTTTCGATTGTGGAGCTCTTGGGTTGCATGTTCAGGCCGGAATTTTGGATTCAGTCGTTCCTGACCACGGGACGTAACTCTCGTGTTCGTTTCGCTCTCGCCAGAATCGACCAACTAATGAATGCAATCAGTCAGTCCGCCTGCTGAATGCAACACACCCTAAGCTAAAGGCTGAACAAGAACTGGATCTGATCAGCGAGAAACGCCTCCCCCGTGCTACTCACGTTATACCAGGACCCGAAGGCCTCGTTTCCGACAGCAACTCAACAGATGTTCACGCCCCCCGGGGATGATTATACCCCAGAACCTCTGAACCTCTGAATCTCGAAATCCAAATTAACCCCAATTCATGCAAAACCGCGCGCTACTCACGTTGTACCAGGAACCAAAGGCCTCGTTTCCGACGGCGACCCAGCGGATGTTCACACCCCCGGAGTGGATGTACCATAAAATCTTCAAACCTAACCCCTAACTGAGACGGGTTAAAGCGATGAAATTCAGAAACGCTTGTTACCCACGTTGTACCATGAGCCAAAGGCCTCGTTTCCAACGGCGACCCAGCGGATGTTCACGCCCCCCGGGTAGATGTACCGGCCAACATTGTACTGGACCCACGCCGAGGCCGCCGCCTTGTTGGCCGCGAAGTTGGCCAAGTGCTGCAGGCGGGGGAGAATTTGTTTTGTACTGAGAAAACGCGAGTTAATTGACATTCTTCGCGGAGCCACACGCAGTTGGTAAGATGCACGGGCTGCCGTGACACATAGTTTTGGACCCACGCAGAAGTCGCCTCCTTGTTTGGCCAGGTTGTGCAGCCGGGAGAAAGGTTGGTTGACGGTCAGACATCGATCAGTTTGAAGCTTCTTGGGAGCAGTTCTGCTTAGTCGCCAAGGTGCGCTGACGTCAGACATACTACTAGTGCACCCGCGCCGAGGACGCCGGCGCGGCTTTGTTGGCCGCGGAATCGGACAGGTTCTCCGACCGGGGAGAGGGTCGGTTTACACCGGGAGACGTCAGCCCCAAAAGATTCGTGAGAGCAACTTTCGTACAGGAAGGTGGGCTGGTATCAGGTGGCGCCGAATGCGCACCGAGAAGCGCGCCGGCTCAAGCCCGCTACATCTGCCAGCTGCATACTGCTTCAGTCCATATCCGACACCGAGAGAAGACTCTGCTGTTCATAGAGCTTGCAAATCCAAGTTTTGGATCTCGTGTGAGTATTCTGGCAGCTGAAGGAGTCGGTTTCAGCTGCACTTGATGAGCCAACAGCTCGCCTTTGCCCAACGCAACTATTTTTGCAATTTGCGAAGCACGCCTAGTTCGGAGCGGAGCTCGTTTCCAAGGTTCGAAGGATCTGATGGGCTTACGATGTTCTCCAGCCCAATCATCACCTCCACATCCATGTTGATGAGCTGACCCAGGAAGGCCTCGTCCGCGTTGAAAATCTGCACAGGATAGAATCAGCACCTCTATCAAACAGTCCGCTTTTGTAAGAAGTGATGTTTTGGTTTCTTTGCAGTAATCTCTGTGAAACTTTGAAGTAATAGGGGAGTGTCGGGCTTAGAGTTTCTTTGCTGCCCAACGTTTGTGGCACTGAATTTCAAACCAGATGTGAGGAACCTCACAAAACAGAGTGCGCAGTGAATCTGCATCAATGACAGTCGCAATGAACGTTACACGCTCCGAGCTGATTGGTGAGCTTAACCATTTGCCGTACTACTTTGTTCCAGTTGTTTTGACTTGGCCGCTTCGCATACATAAGTGATTGTCTTTCCTAAGGTCTTTATTCAACGTGCGGAGAGAAGATAGAGTGCCTCGCAACTGGTGTGAATTGCCTTGAAAGCTGGTGTAAGATTTAAAAAGGTACGTAATCTCTCCTGAGATTCAATGATTGCAGTTTGGCCCAGGCCCTCAGAGTATCAGAGCAAGAATCTGGCTGGGCAGATTGGATTGTGCTCGTCTTACTTGGGCTACATCTGATCGTGCCAGTTTTCAGCATGTGCAGCAGTCAAGCCAACTTCGGAATAACTTTCAGCACTGTTTAATATTGAGCGGCCGGGCAATCTACCACTCCGATCCTGGTACATACAGCAGATTCTAAAGCTGTGACCTTTCTAAGTTCCTGGTACATACAGCAGATTCTAAAGCTGTGACCTTTCTAAGTCATTGTTGCAGCTTGGCAGCAACTAATGTGAGCGAGTCGTGATGAAGATCAGTGGCCTTGGATTCTGAAAAGAAGATGCCTTGAAGCACGCGACTTCTGACGGAGACGAACTTATAAGCCCGAAACAGTGCTTGCAATCACGGGGACTCCGTACAGCCCTCAGTTGATAACCAGCAAAAGCGTGATTGCACAGTCCCCGCTGAGTTGACCGATCAGTTTCAGCAGATTGGTGCCAGTTCTCGATGTTCATTCGATTGCCACAGGCTTGGTAAGGTGAACCGCAGGACAGGCATAACCTTCAGCAATGATTAGTAGCTCAAATTCCAAGGTTGTAATCCTAGCCTCGTCAGGACGAAAGGGGAAAAGAATAGAATAGAGAATTTTCAGAGGAATATCAACTTGCCTTTATCATGGGGATCTTTCTGTCCTGGATTATCTTAGCAACTGAGGCGTGGGAGATTGGTTTGCTCGAATACGCACTCCCTCCGTAGTTAAACCCGATGCCAGGTGGGATCCACTCCGCAGCCGCCATAGAAGCCAGGAGCAGCAGACACGTGGCGAGCCCGCAGGCGTCCGCCATTATATGCCGGCCCATCATTGCAGAGATGACGCCACTATTACAGCTTCGGCGAAGTGTCGATTCGTTTCTGCTCGATTGAGAAGTCCGCTCTTTTTTCCCCCGATCCTCCAAAAGCTTTTCTTGATCAATTATGTATAGCCCTTTCTTGATGACTTTAAATCTGGGACGAGATTGATTCACCGATGCTGGTAACTATTCGGCGCGGGATTGCTCAGGAGAGGAATCCAAGAGTCCCTGTCGACACCGTGACAGCAATGATCAGGAGAGGCAACTTCCCAAAGCCGTGTTGCTTCTAGAACCTCTACAAAGTAGTGACAACCATCTTCTGGCGCTCATCTGCTATTGCTCTCCTTAAAAAATGGTCCTCCTTTCTGGCCCCCTCGTCGCTAGCTGCTGCTTCAATATCCAAGACTTTGTGCCTGCATTCAGAGCCAGGCGTTTCTTACATGGCCCGGTTTGCACTGGCTGACAATGCACTGAACTGTACAAGTAAATCCAGAAGAGAATCTCTGTCACGGTTGTTACCACCGCGATCTTCTCTGGACAAGCGTTGCGGCAAACGCCAAACGATGTTGACAGTGCCGACTCGTATAATTTCCACCAGCCGATTCAACTGTCCACTGTCCAGCAGAGTCTAGACTGGAACAGCGTAGAAGCGTACTGTGATCGTTGTTCTGAAGTGAAGAATGTCTTCGCGATCTGTGCAAAAAAGACTGGCGACGCGCGAAGTCGGTCCGCGCTGTCAAAGCTGTCAACGCAGTCAACGCAGCAACGTACCCGAGGTATTTTACCCAGTACCTGCTAAGCAGCAAGTGTGCGCACGGCGCCGTAAAGCGTACTGCAGGCAGTACAGTACCGGTACGTGTACATGCGGCACCGTCTATAATTGCATCATGGAACCAATACCGTACCAATTGTCCGGTTGGGCAACAATTATATATTATTTGACTTGCCCAAAAATTGGAATAAAATAAATTCCAATTAAGGATTTGCAGATCATTTTGACCCGTAAAAAAAAAACAAAAATGCATAAATGAAGCTGCCCAAAATCCATGAGATACGAAATTATTTACTGCCCAACCGGACAATTGGTACGGTACTTGCCGACAGTCCAGTCACGGCACCGAAGCACGTTGGGTTCCAAGTGGGCACTGTCAACAATTCCTGGCTCAGGGGGGAAATGGTCGGCGACAGAGAAGCCTGCAACAGGGCAAGATGGTCGCTTTTGACAAGGCATGACGACATAGCAGAAGCATCCGTACACGTCTCTTTAAATGCTGTTTCAATTATTGCCCGATGCTAAATCGTGGGAAGGGTTTGTTCAACTTTGAGCACTCTTTTCGGAACGTCAGGGCTCTCACAGGCACACATGCTGGCAGCGGCTGGCTTCCTGGCTGAAAAGGAGCCTTTACTATGGAAGAAGCCTGCCATGATTTTTAGGCTGCAAAATTTTAAGAAAACGTTTTCCAAAGATGCATGCATTTGAGAGAAACCCAGGTGGCCTCCTACGGGCCTTGTGAACTGCGAGGCAACATACCGTACAAGAGCCCCGCAAAAGCATCAGATACCGTAGGTACCCGAAAACAGGGCCTTGTAGATGAGGGTGGTCTAAGGTGGAGTGTGGTCATCGAAGCCTACCATCGGACGGGTGATAGGCACTGCCTTCGAGGAAGATTCTCAATCCACGGTCCGCAATAAGGGTCTGCCAAATGCAAGTGGCCCGAGGGAATCCCAGTCGGCATCTTGCCGATTTTCCGGGTAGGACTTGGTCAAAGTTCAAATCGAACCGCACTGTCATTGTCAAGAATGCACGAATCAAAATTGCTCCTCGCAGTATGTACCGTGGAGTCGCTCTAGAGTCTAAGCTTCAAGCCCAGCCAAGATTATCGAACTTGGTGCGTACCGTGTACCAGTAATTGTTGGACGTTGAAGCTGCTGCAGTTTGAAATTTGAACACATTTTTAGATGTTAATTTTTCGGATTGGCATATGCTGCTAGCAGAACGGTCGCTTGAAAAGCTTATCGAATATTAAGGAATTATAAGATGCCAGCACACAATAAATTGACATGGAGGGCCGCCCAGGAGCGCAGCAAACTATGGTGGGCTTAGAGTATATAATACGAAATCAAATGCCATATTCCGTGTGCCACGAACAACATACGCGCTTCCAAACCTGGTCATAGGCGCGTGCCGTTCTCATTTGCCACGATCTGCGCAACGTTTCAGTTTGGTCTCATGAATGCTTGTGAAGAGCACAGCAAGGGACGTGGCAGGGGAGCAACGCCCTTCACTGCTTCAGCTGCCGTTCCTTTCTCCACTGGTCAAGGTTGTTTCACATCTGAGGAGAAGATTGTTCATCATTGGCGGTGGCCCTGTGCTTTTGTTCTGGTGAATGTGGTGACTACGACAGGATTCTGCAGATTTGGGGATCTAAGTTTGGGCGACAGCCTGGGAGGAGGCGACATGGTCGTTCTTCCAGCACTGTTGATTCGTCCGTGCAAGCAGGGCTGTGCTCCGGCCTCTGTCCCTGCGGATTTGTCAACCCTTTTGGAGGATCCGAGGCAATTGAAGGCTACCTAGTGGCCAGGGAGGAAAGTTTGACAACACCCTAGGGACCTAGGATAAAGCAAAGGAAAGGAGCACATCTTATGAGGCTGAGCATACAGGCCATCATCTGCTGCTAGATCTATAGAAAGTATTGAACAAAGGCAGGGGAACTCCTCTGCTGACTTGGCTGGTATTGTCCTCAGCTCACAAGGCGGCTGCTGCGCCCTTGGACATGCAGAGCAATCCAAGGGCTCTCAATCAGGAACCTGAGCCCAAAGGGTCCCCATGTGCTAAGCCAGTCCGCACATTCAGCTCAGCCACATTCTGGAGCCTCAAATTCAGCTTTTGAAAGCACCTCACCCTTCAGGCGTACGCCCCTTGAGAGAACAGGTAGACGAGAAGTCATCATGGGGCCTGAATTGTGGCCTGAGGAGCGGGCGCCGATGACCCCGCTCGTGACCAAGCACTTTGGCAAGGAGGTCTTCACCAAAACGCAGCAGTATGACGACTTGGCTACGTCTGTCACGGTGAGCTCCTCATCCTAAGCCTCCGGAAAAATCCCCTTGTTAGCTTAATAAGAGCGCCAGTTTGTTTCTGTCCTCATCATGCAGTTGCCGCAATGCTGTAAATTCTGGGGGCAATTGTCTTCCTGGCTTGCTCCACAAGAAAGTTTCCGGCTGATTTTGAGGGATTTTGAGGCTCAGCATTCAGGTCTGACGAAGTGTTGAAAGCTGACAATGCAAATGCAACCTGCATGGTGGAGCTGGGGTGATGCATGCCTTCAAAATGTTGTGACGCTTATTTTTGATGGTTTTGTTCCCCAAGTGTTGACATAGTGACGCAAGCGCCACCTTTGAAATTGTGGTAAAAGTGGTGCCTTTTGTGTCGCATCCATTGAAGTTGAAAAGTTGTTCTGACCGGCTTCTGCATGATTCTGAAGGCGTAGGGGGGTTTCTTGCTCAAGAAAACTTGTGATTTATTGAGGCTTTTAGCCGGTATGGGGCGCAACATCTTGTGAACAAGAGTCCGTCCAGTGTTCCTTCTACGCTTTTCTCCAGGTTCTCAAAAAGTTGTAGGTGTCCTTGGCGAGAGGCCTCAACCGATTGAACGATGAATGCTAAGAATCTCCCAGGCTTGACGTATGTTGTTTGCATTCTTTTGGCGACGATGTCGCCATCCTGTTTGTTCAGAAATCTCCACCCTTCTTGAACTTTTTGTTCCCGTTCAAGTTGGACGCTCTTTTTCCCCTTGGTGAACAGTCAGCGCATTGAACCCAGTCTTTATACCTTGACACCCAATGAAACACAGCCCCACTTTCAAACACCCCCTTTGTGGCCTAACTTCGCCCCACCACCCGACCAGCCTTCGCCGTCATTTCAACCTGTTGAAGTCCATTGTACATTGTGATTTGGTCCTCTGTTCTGGTGATTGGACTCCTTAGTGTGAGTTCTTGGTGACCCAGCTTCTTTTCTCGTTGATCAGCTGCGATTCCTCCCGGCAGTACGTCATGTTTTGCTAAGTGTTCCTCGACCCCTCTTTAGGTACCCCGCTCCCCAATCACCCCCCGCCACATCACAAAAGTGATCCACACCCAGTTCGGCGCAGCGAATGATGTCATCGCAGTCCTAGAGACCGAGAAGCAGATCGACGGCTCTGGACGCATCCATGGTTTCTTGGACGTCCTCTCGCCTGAGGGCAAGAAAGTCCCTGCCCCTGAGCCGATGCGCATCGAGCTCAGTTTCACGAAACCGACCCCCCAGGAGGAAGAGATCATTGAGGAGCACCGGAAGACGCTCATCTGGGCCGTGCGGGATATGGACGACGGCTTATGGGGCCAGCTGCCGAAAGGCGTTGCTCGTTCGCTTCGCTTTGACACCGGTGCTACGGAGCATGATGACAATGGCTTTGGGGACGGAGGCGGTGTCAGGCGGACATCTTCATACTCTGCCAATGCAGCAGCGGCGCATCGAGCGGCGGTCCCGTCGGCTTACCTCCAGCTCTACAGGCAGTTGGCGGAGTGGATGGAGGGGTTCAGTCCATCAGACGTGCGAGTGATTCGGAGCCACCCGGTGCTAAATGAGAACGGGAAGGTTTTGGTGGGGCATGTTTGCACGGCGCAGCAGATGTTTCTGCATGAGGCGCAGGTAAAAGTTTTTCCTCTGCTCTGTCTGTTACAGCACTCAAGCATTGGGGATTGGGGGGCGTTCTTGATTATGTGTCTGCCTCTTGATCCAGCTGAATGAGTGTTGTTTCCATATGCAAATCTCTTGGTTCATACGAGCACTCCTTTAGTTCTTGAAACATGTCCTTTGATTTGTGACAACTGCTGTGTGGAACTCATGTTCTTAGCCACTTAGCTAGGTCCTTTTAGGTAAGCTGAGAGGGTATGTTTACATTGAACCACCCGCCATCTTTGAAGCAGACTAGGGGCCTCATTTCTCAACAACAAACAGTCGGTCAGTCGGCCAGTGATTGATTGTACAGCGTCACCTCTTTTAAGTATAATAATTTGCAGCGGACATGCAGTGCATGTTGTTTTCTTTGTTTTCTCTTATGTTCCTGTCTTGTGGTGAACCTTCTGGGTAGTAATTTCTGTCTTAAATGGCAGCATACTCAGCTAGATTGAAGCTTTGGTTGTGAGAAGCTAGACGCGGTCCTCTATAACACAGGTTGGGTTCTGACCTCAAGGACCTTCAGCGTTGATTGTAACTGTGACTCTTGAAGATACTTACGGAGGGTCAAACGTCGTGCCTAGTTCGTAGTTTTTCCTCTCATGAAGGCGTGTGGTTGGTCCTTGAATCAAATCCTCATGTCGACATTCTTGATTACAAACTCAAACGCACAGCCCTTTCCATTATGCAATCCCCTTCACGCTCAGTGGTTCTCATGTCTTCCTGACCCACGACTGAAAGACTCTTTAGAACCCTTCGAAACATACTCTTGACTTATTTTGTTCCTCTCCCTTGCAATTGTGACCGAAACCCGACCCTTTCGCCCCCCCTCCGCCCTCAGGTGGACATTTTCGACGTCTTCCTACACCAAGTCCTCGAGCTGTGGCTTCCCTTGCACCACAAAGCGCGCCCGGAGCCCTCCGGTCGGACTTTCATCCCTTTCACCGTCCCCCCCGAAACCCCTATCTCGTCCCCCTCTTCCTCTTCTGAGGGGGACACCCCCCCCCTCTCGCCAGAGCCATCCTTCCTCCCCCCACCGCCAATCAGCACCGCGTCCCTTCCCCTCACCATGAACACTTTCGTTCGCGCGCGTAGGCTGACACTAGATGCCCCCCCTGACGAAGATGGAGAAGAACTCCTCCACGTTGGCGTCGACGCCCTCATCAGGGGGGTGAAAAGGCCCCGTGCCGAGGCGACAGAACCCCCCCGGGAAGACACGTCGGTGCTTGCGCGTCTGGGGGATCCCCAGGGGCGGGGCATGATGAGTTTCCTAGTGTTAAGGGACTTCGTCCTGCAGGGAGTCGAGTTCACCCCAGCCCCAGGGATCAAGGTCTTGACACCGGCGAGCCACCGCGAGAGCCTCGACGCACGGGGCTTCATTGCGTTTGAGCCGCATCCCGATGACATTGCGCTGTTTGCGGGGGCGTTTGTGTGTGAGGCGAAGGGCGTGGTGCCCGTTCACATGATCAGCTGCATGCCGGACCCGGCGGGGATCACGGACCAGTACCTGGCGGACTTGCTCGCGCTGACCACGTTCGCTATCGATAACCCCAACGTCAGCAGCAGGTGAGGCGGGTTGCTAATCCAAACTGTCTGTCTAAACCTGGTTTGAAGTACTTATGGACCATTATCTGGCGGACCTGCTTGCGCTGACCACGTTTGCCATTGATAACCCGAACGTCAGCAGCAGGTGAGGCACTAACCTATCCCTTGAGGACTCCCAAGAAACTATTTGTGATGGTTAGGTCCGGGTGCTTGAAGCCAGTGAACCGCAACCTGCTCGCAGTAAACCCAACCACTATTAATAGCCAGCAGCGGGTGGCTTCTTGCTCCCCCAGTTTCCGGAGTTGAAGTACGGGTGAGTGCTGACGATGATTGGCAGCAGATGAAGCGAGTTTGACTGGGGGTAGTGCTGAGAGCAGCAACCGGGATCAGCTGCTGTCGAAGCAGAGTCATCAACTCTTCAGGTTTGCTGTTCTCTTTCCGAGAAAGTACACTATGGAACCCCCCGGGACCTGTCCGCACCAGTGGAAGTTATCTGAGGAGAGCGAATACCATCTCCCTTGCAGGCTGGTCCACGCCAAGCTTATTGGGCGGTCCGTCTTCGGCGAGCGCAGCGAGGCGAGCGACGCGGCCGCCAAGCTGCGTGGCCTGTTCACACCGCGCGAGCAGCTCGCGCTGGCCAACCGGTTCAAGATGAATTTCCCTGCGTTGGATATGGGCGAAGTGGACCGGATCCGGAACCTATTCACACCGACAGACTGGCGGCGGCACAAGCGGAGCCTGCGCGTGTATGAGGGGTACCTTGGCTTCCAGTACATGGGCCAAGAGACGGACGGTGAGAATACACTCTGGCCGTAACTTGGTCGGTTAAAAGCTTAAACTTGGTCGGTCAAGAGCTTGAATTAACTTCTCTATAGGAGAATTTTGTTCTTTGTTGATGATATCTTGGGGGCTATAGGCTTGCCAGAGAGCTTCTTACGGTTGTAAAGGTCTATGACAGCAGTCAAAGTTCGGGTCCTCTAGATCGATCAGTGATCGAATGGAGTCTTTGCCTTCCCTCTGCTCAACAACTAAGCTTATCCAGCTTTTCCTTTGCGTTTGCTGGACCTCTCTGGACTCCTCGCTCTTAGTACACTTCTAAGAGATACGCGATTATGGTATGAAATTGCCCGTCTTTGATTCCTCTTCCTCGCACCCAGCTTTATGCAGCCGCCCTTTCAAGAACGAGAGCCGCTCTGCCGATTTGACATCAGCTGTCATTTTGTAAACAATTGAAGTAGTGTTCTTCGGTCGTTTGCATGCAGAGACGGACTACACGAACATGGTGTGGGACCTGCCGCTGGTCAAGGGCGCATTCTCACCAAACGGCACCCTCCTTTCCTACTGGTCCAAGTACCAGGCGCCCAGCGAGAAAGACGCCATGAAGTTGCGCCTGACGCTGCGCTCCCTCAAGCACATGGGGTAAGTGACTCTGTTTCGTGAGATTGGCAGCTTGTGAAAGGCAGGTTCAGGAGCTTTGACGCCTTGAAACCAGGCACCAACTTGGTGAATATGAATATTCCTATCTGGAAATGGGCAAGTCTTACGACCTGAGTGATGGATGGCAGCCTTCGGGGTTTTGGACGGTTTGGATTTCACGAGGTTTCTTTGATGTAAGCCCGAGAACGAATCTCCAAGGGATCGAACCAGTTCGAAAACCTGTTGCATAACCTTAATCCGAAGATCCAAAACCGTTCCCCTGTTTCTAGCGCGCAATGCGGGCCCATCGCCATCCCACAAAGTTTCAAGGCGCTAACCCAGTCTGCGACCCCTCTGCAGGATCTCAACCGCTAAGTCCTTATCGTTGGAGGCGCTGACTCAGTTCTTTAACCCTGCTTCAGAACCGTGATTCTGCCCGCCCCCCACTACCGCCACCCGCAGCACCGCCAGCTGTCGAACCTATCTTTAAGTTGACATTCCAAATACGTTAACCCAGATAGATTTCAGCTGCTAAATCATAACCCGCTAACCTAGTCTGTAACCCAAGTGCAGAATCGTAATCCTGCCCGCCCCTCACCACCTTAACCCACAGCACCGCCAGCTGACGAACTTTCAAAACTTATATCAAAGGTGCAAGCACAGTTTCGAACCATCTGCATAACCCCCATCTGCTAATCCAGTTCTTAACCCTTTCTGCAGAACCGTAATTCTGCCCGCCCCCCAACACCGCTACCCACAGCACCGCCAGCTGACGAACTTTGGAACCTTCCTTAAAAGGTGCAAGCACAGTTTTAAACCTTTGCATAACCCTCATCTCCTAACCCAGTTTTTGACCGTTCTGCAGAACCGTCATTTTGCCCGCCCCCCACCACCGACACCCGCAGCACCGCCAGCTGACGCGGGTCGCGCTTCCGTTGATCCAAGAGGAGCTGCCTCACGCGAACATCATGCTGTACGAGGACCTCACCGGGTTCACGCACCTGCGTGCCAATATGCTGAACTGCATCGAGGGCGGAACCGGCATGTGGATGGCCAAGTGAGTATTTGAAGGCGGTTTCTGTGGCAAATCTGTGGTCTCTTGAGGAAGGAGCCTGTCTGTTCTTGGTTCGGTGTTTAAAGTTTGGCCTGGATTTGTATTGATGCGTTTCGGTGTTCCTGGCTGTAAGATGGGCGTAGAATACGCAGGTTCCTCGAAATCAAACGGTGCAGAGATAGTTACCCAGCCCTTTCCCAGGACGTTGACTGTCAAGGTTGTGACGCCGTTGTGTTTGGCGCCTGACGTCATGTCCACTGACCCGCCCACTTTCAGCGGGGGTGTTGCGCTCATGATTTTATCCCAAGCACGCTTGGACGAGCTTTCGTACTTGAATTCAACAGCACAACGCTCTCGTTACACAACTGATTGGGAACGCTGCAAACGTAAGTACCCTACAGATGGAAGAGCAGGGAAAGTTGTCAAAGAGCCAGGTGTTAGAAGGTTGGGTTTTTTGCCACTTTCAGATAGCTCGCGAAGCTGCTGCTTTCTGCGTTCAGAAATATCTGAACCCGGCCTCTGTTTCTTCCAGGGTTTGGGAGGCGTATGGCAGCCAGGAGGCTCGGAACCCGTACCGCGCGATGTGGTACAACCACGTCCGGCGGGCCGCTCTTCGAGAGGCTGACGTCATCGAGGAGCAAGTGCACGACGAGAAGTGGCAGCACCTCGCGGAGCGTTTCGTCGTGGGCACTCTCAAAAAGGTTGCGGCATAATCGCAATCAGGTTAGATATCTTGCGGCTTAACCCGCTTTCGTAAGTTGCACATGCAGTGACCTGGTGTTGGCACTGATGGGTGAGAAGTGGAGTTGTGGACAGCCGGGATACGAGTCGTCCACGTTGACAGCAAAGGTGCGACCACTACTGCGCGCACCTTGTTTGTAATATATAGCACTTGAAATAATCAGCACGCCACGAACGTTGATACCTTACAATGGGGTAGCAGAAAAAGCAATCGGAGGCACGTTGAGCCCTCTAGTCCTTCTGAGTGTCCGGTCTGATAGCGATTTACAATGCCAAAAAGCGGGTTAGATCTGAGTGTCCTTGGAGGGAGAACGAATACAGCCGTCAAATAGGTGTTGACGAGTCAGATCTTTTCCAATAAAGCTGTAGTGAGTTCCCTTGCTTGAGCGTGTAGTGAGTTCCCTCGCGGAAAGACCATGTCACGTCTGAGTAGTTCAAGCTACTATGTTCGTGCTTTTCTTTGTAAGTAGGCATTCAGCCAATCGTCCTTGTGCGAGTCTTTGACCAGATTCGGTTTCGTATGCCACAAAAGTCTGGCCTTGGCGATTTGCGGTCGGATGGCGGTGGTTACCATAGCAGCTCGTTTGCATAGATTGCGCTGCTCAGAGAGGAGCGCGCGTCATCTATGTCGATCTAAACACTTGATCAGCCGTCCAGTCCCATGCAGCTAAAAATAATCAATCAAATAGGTAGTGACAAATCCACATTATAACACGTCTATATATGGAGTAACAAGGGTTTATATTAAATTGACAGTGTGATGCCTTCTACCGTCTGATCGGGCCTGCATAGGGCAGCTGAATTTTATACACTTGTGGATCTTGCATCCATCGACGGGATTTGCGGTTGTATACGCTGGCGGCAGCTGGCACACATATGGCTGCTCGGAGCCGCTCCAACAGTCTTCGGAGCCCCCCTGAATCCGCAAATGGACGTTTGGTCTAGCTGCAGCCTGCTGGTGGGTACGATACGCCTGTTCGCTGAGCTCTCCTTCGGCGGCTGCATGCAAGGATTCCCGACGAGACCGTGGCCTCAGCCTCCCTGGGGCCTCCGGGGCCACACGATCTATGTGCACCGGCATATGCCGCGCTAGTAGCTGTTTGGGAGCCTCCGAGTCAGTGCTCGTCGCTCGAACTTTCTGCCGCGCGGCCGCGCGGAAGCCTGTGTCGACATGAACGGAACCACCGGCACCGGAACCCTTCGAGGCGCGTTTTTGGCATGCCATTTTCTCTGCTGTCCAGTGTGCGCCAGTGTGCGCGCGAGCGTACGCGTCATTATTGAAAAGGGCGAAAGCCTCCGGAATGGTGTCGTGCAATGCCGCAGTACGACGTCGCAAAATGGGTGGCGACCACCTCCCAGGGACCTTCGCTTGTTCGTCCGCCTTATTACCCTTAAAAATCCGTCAAATCTCTGATGCGAGAAGAGTCCGGTCGACCGCTTTTCCAGGAGGTTCGATGGGCCACAGCAAAGATGGAGCTGCTCATACCTGGCACTATATAATCTTACAGTAGATTCACGACTGTTTGTCGTTTTGTGCGATTATTGTAGGTCGGCCGACGGTCGCAGGCCCTCCGATGGAGATCCGCACGTGTGCTCAAAAGTCGCAGGCCGTCGATTGCATTTCCAGCCTGTTCCAGGGGGTACAACCGTCGCCTCGGAACCCTCCGGCCTATTTGTGTCAAGAATATATGAATTTGCACATCGATATCGACGGTCTGAACCAGCTCGGCGCAAAAACGATATTATGACATGCCGAGTGCAGCACAGTGTGCTACCAATCTAGTTTGACACTAATCTTCTAGCGCTATCATGGGCCATGGCCTGAGGCTGCCGCCTTCCCTTCGAGGCGTGTGGCCAGTCTGAAAATCTCGACTTCGATCAAAGTCCCAACTTCAACTTCAAGTTCCAACAGTCAGTACGCACGCTCTTGGACCCGCCAGAAAAAGTTCGGAATCGTCGATCGATGGGGGCAGCGGGGCAACCAAAAGAAGTTGAACCTTATCGGACGGCCGAAATGCGTCCCACCGATCCCTAAGTTCTCGCGATCCATCAAACGGCCGTGAAAATTCGAGATTTGGCTTAGCGTCACTTGACTGATAACGGTACCGTTGAGGATTTTGCCACCTGGCCCCCCGCTGCGAATGCGGCGCACCGCCGGAGTCGTTCGAAGCGGTTACTATCGAATTTGGGACCTTTCGGCGGCCCGCCGTCCCGGGTGCCCTCCCAGTCTAGAGCCGTGAGTACTTAGGGAAAGAGGGAGGCCGGAAGGATGACCAAGGTTGGTCGGAGAGTTAGACACAGCTCCCAGTTGATTCTAAAGGGGCAGCTTCGTGCATGTTGGTGCATGTTTGGGGGTTTGAGTCATGGCAGCCCCCACTGAGCACTACCAAGCCTCGGACCTAGCACAAATCGGGCGCGGTCTGTACTACATAGGCGAGGACAGCGTCCGACCGGGCGAGATTGGGCAGATTTCAAGCAACTGCATCACATGCAAGCAGCAAGTCTGGTCGAAAGCAGTCAGTACAGATAGGAGCTTGAGGCTGAGCCTGCGCAGGAGCACAATGAAGGGCTACCTGGTGAGCTGCAGCGTTCCGAAGAGCAAGCAGAAACGCCAACTCCTGTGCCTGGGCTGCGTGGACAAGCTGATGGGCCAGCTGAGGCTCAGCACCGATGCAGAGAGCGTGAGTCTGTGTGACCGCGGGCACAACGAGCAAGATGCGCTGCTGTTCGAGCGCCAGGCCTCGGGGAGCTGGAGGCAAACGCTGGAGCTGACGAACGAGCTGCTGGAGGCTGTTGTGATCTCAAATGAGAGCACCGTGAGCAGGAAGAGGCCAAAAAAGGCGGAAGCTGAGAGCGCATTGAACAGGGGCATGCAAGCCGGCAGCCGCGCGCGTGAGATGCTGGTGAGTGGAGATAATTTCTTAGTAGAACCTATGAGGATTTTCAATGCAGCAAGCGTCTGCCACTGATTGCGCTCGTCCCGCAAAATTCCAATGGACTCACTGCCTGGCATGCGCCCATTCTAAGAGAGGAAGCACAAGGACAGACTACATGCTGTTCATGGAATTTCTCATGGCCCGCCACCGGAAAGGCGGGTTGATGCATAAGATCCCAAATGCAATCTTGAGCTGCTCGTTCAGCTCCGATTGTGAGCAAGGCGTGAGGTTATTTTCCGAGAGCGGTGAGGAAGTGTGTTTGAAAGATCTGGTTGGCACCTGCAGCCTGAGGCCCACCTCGGCATTGCGGCCCAAGCTGCCCTCTTTCTGAGCGGCGTCCTGGAGGGCACGTGCCGCCTGGTCATTCCTGCTGGAATGGACGCATGTGAGGCCAACCCACCACGGCTCTACATGACATATTGGGACCACAACCGAGCGAGGCCGAAAGCGCTCGGTAAGCCCAGCAAGGAGAAGGCAATGCTCGAGGAATCCTGGTGGGATGGCTCAGGACACTCAAACTGCTCGTGCGATCGTGGCAGGCTGGCCAGGGACGCTCCTTGCGTTCACAAGCTGGTGCTTGCGGCCCTGGGCGCTACGGGGTTGCAGCAGGGGGATCTTCCCACTGCCAGGGAATTGGGGAGAGGAGCAGGGCTGGTCGAGCAGGTGGGCGTGGACTCCACGGGGCGCTTCTTTGCAGCGAGGAGCAGCCCCAGGGGGGTCAGTCCGGCGCACAAGATGCTGCATCGAAGCGTCGAGGGTGTCTGGTACTGTCAAGGCAAGAGAGACGGCTGTCCGTCGCAGCATGACTGCAGCCACATTCTCGCTGCCAAGCTGGCCATCCAGGCGGGGCATGTCCATTTTGTACAGGGGCTACTTCTTGGGCAGGATGCCCTAAGTAGAGCAAGGCAGTGGTTGGAGCAATGGGACGGAGCGCTGCCGTTGCTCGGCGGGAGCGGGGGAAGCAGCGAGTTGCGTGCGAGCTGCGAAGGGGCCGGCGAGGAGGAGGCGCACCTGATGGGGCTCATCTCCGGGCAACGGCATGAGCCGGCCGGATGCGCTGGTGCGGACTGCTTCTGCCAGGAGCACCAGCAATTGTTCGGAGTGGCTGAGCCGTCCACATCGCAAAACCAGGGGGCGGACGTCAGTGAGCCATGGAGGGGGTTGCGCAGGAGCAAGCAGTGGTGGAGGAGTCACGCGGGCGGGGCTCCTTCGACCGCGGCACCCCAGAGAGTTCAGGAGCCGCCCGCGGAGGCGTTGGGCAAGGACGCGATCCGATGCTGGGTCGCCTCCTGCGGCAGCTGCACGCTGGAGGGTGCCCAACGGGGATGCCAGCATGAGGGCAAGGGAAGGGCGCCGGTCATGGTTCAGGAGACGCAGGCGGTCCAGGTGACCCAGCCGAAGCTGAGCCAGCTGAGCGACGCCCCGGATTTCCACGACCCGTGGGTGATGCGGCTGAGGTG